ATGAAGCTGATAAAATGAGTATAGGGAGCCCTCAGACTAGAGAACATGAAGTATGTGGACAAATGTGTGTTTTGCTACCTGTGAATGGAGACAAAGCACCTCAGCAAGACTACCAATGAAAACTGGATTTAAAGGAAGCTTCATGCAAGTGGGTGAGAAAAGGTTAAAAGATTTTCTTCAGATGGCACTAGGCCCTACCCTAAAGAAGGTCCTAACACAGACAGCTGTGGGATGAGAATAGCACAGCTCACAGAAGAGGATCAGGGGCGTCTGTAAAAGCATCCAGGCCACAGCTGAACAGAATATTCTTTTCAGCCATACTGGCTAAGGGTGGGCAACTGTCCTTAGTGAGGAAGAACTGAAAATGATGATGAGGATTCCACTGTATATCCTTGCAGTTTGTTGTATGTATTTATGTTTAGTGCAGCATGGAACGCCGTACAAACACACCTCTCACTACAGTGAGTGGGTTCAGTGAATCTTTTGTTGGCTTCTTAAAATCCCCAACTAAAAATCTCCCCAGTTGACCAATACAGGTAAAATTTAGAGTTAAGGACTCTAAAATTAAGCACTTTTCCTATTCCATCCAGACGTTTGTCACGTGACACTTCTCTAGAACAAGTGGCTCCTGGCTGGGTGGTAGAATTATGACGCCATAAGAACCACCAACTGGCTATTAAAACTTTGCTTTCTTTTGCCTCAACAGGATTATGACATCAGATATAAAGCAGCCAATCGTCTCCTCCCTCCCTTCCTTCTTTCCTTTTTTCTTTCTTTCACTTTTTATTAACAATTTGGCTCAGCAAACTTTTTTTTTTTTTTTAAAGATTTTATTTCTTTGACAGAGCAGGGAGCCTGATGCAGGACTCGATTCCCAGGACCCTGGGATCAGGACCTGAGCCAAAGGCAGATGCTTAACAGACTGAGCCTCCCAGACACCCCAAGTTCAACAAGCTTTTATAGAGGGCCTAGAATGAGTCAGCTGCTATGCTGAGGAAAGCTAAATAAACCTCTCTCCCTTTCTTCAAGAAGCTCACAAGCTCACAGGAGGCAGACAAATAAGTTTAATATAGTGTGATAACTGCAACAATATGAATGTGTCCAAAAGTGAAAGAGAGAAAGCATAAAGAAGAGCAGGGATGAGCTCTGAGAGCCAGGGGGGCGGGAGGAGTTAGGAAGATTTTGTCAATTTCAGTTGGGCTTAAATTTATTAAAAGTGCAACTACAGAGAAACCCCTTGCTTATGTCCTGGAGGTTAGGTGTATTAGTTATTCCAGCAAGCCTGCAGAATAAATTGTACTCAAGAAAAATGCTCTACTTTTGGTGATTGACTAATGGTCTCAGAATCAAGACTCGATGCAAGCTGAACTGTGAACCAAAAATTGAAAATAAGGTGATGGTTGAGAAATAAATTGAAATAAAGGGCAAGATTTGCTCAATCTGAACCATAACCAGTATGTTAAAAAGAAACAAACAGAACAACCAGCATTAAAGAATGTCAGAACTGCAAGAGATCTTAGAGCTGATCTAGTCTATGCTTTTCATTATGTAGGTGGAAAAAATTGAAGCTCAGGGTGATTAAAGACTTATGTAAAGTCACAAGAAGCCACTGATTGGCAGAGGGTAAGATAGAGTGTCCATCATGATCCAAGTTTATTGTTCTTTCAACTTCTTCAACATGCCTGATAGTGTACCATGCAAGAAAAATTTGATTTTATCTTTTCTTTCCAAATAATTGCCTAGTGATAATATCCTAAAATAATCAAATTGAGACAAAATTAAAATGCTGTCCAAATAGAGCATTCAATAATCTGATGTTTTCTTCCGTATGTATAAAAACGTAGGCTTTAAAAATAGAATCTCAACCTTGTTGGCTGCACGCTTGTAATATGAAGCATATGGATTCTTCTTTCATCAGCAACACAGACTATTTGCACTCCAGGCTCCAGCTCTCTCTTAAATTGATTGCTATCCAGCACTCATCAAAAGCTCTGTGGAGGGGATCATTATTGAAGGGCACTTACGAGGATGTCCGCTTCTTCCTACAGGTATGGAAGTTCTAAGCTTGTATCAGGTAACATCACCAGAGAGCTAAGAAATGGCATGTCAGTTGCTTGGCCCTCTCTTTGATGACATGAGTTCTAGTGTTACCCCCTTGGCATTGATCAAAGGTGACCGCAAGAAACAATCATGTCAAGATTGTTTCTATATTTTCTAAAAAAAGTGGGGGAGGTATTAAAGACACCATCATCTGTGTTGTTCTAGGCTCTTTGGAAAAGCATAAGCATATTTTGTAATTGGTACCAGGAAAAGATGTTCCATTCAAAGAAGTGGAATGTATACTTCTAAACTCAAATAATAATAATAATCATGAAAGTCATTTTCCTTTCTGCGTTGGCTTCCACAAGGTATAGATTAAATGTTAAATGAAGCTCAATCTTCATACATAGGCTTAAATTGGGGGCATATTTGCTTTTTCCACTAAAAAAGTATTTCTAATCTAACAATGATATTTTCTACAAGTCTCTTACTGTAAGTTATCTCAGATCCTCTTTTGGAAGTAGTGGGGAGTAAATAATGAATAAATATTGAGTCATTGATGACTATGCTGCTTTGTTATTGATAAACGTGTGGTTCCTGCTACACACAGCGCATGCTCAGGAGTTCTGGGGAAACCAAGAGGTACCTGAAACACTGCAGGCAATAAGGGTCTTGAATCCGGCTGTGGGGCTAGAGCATATATAGAGATAAACAATATCAGGTAGCAAATTCTAAAGTGATTTCAAAGATCCATTCTATCTTAAGACTATAAGACTATTAAATTAGTAATTTGGACATTTGGTCAAAGCACATTCTGTTTTGAATCAGCTTAATATTGTTATTTTGGCTAACATTTTTCTGAAGGTGGTAAAATTCTTTGGGTAACTCTAATTCTGAATAAGTTTTCATAAAAGCAATCACTGTTCATGGTAGAAATTCGGAAAATCAAAAAAGTATAAAGGAGCAAATTAAAATAATATATAATCACACTTTGAGTTCATATTGTATAATATAACACAATATAGATAATTTAGTGTTCCTGCTTTTTCACTTAATACAGTTAGAATTCCTAGATAATAGATATTCTTCAGTAACAAGATTTCTATTGTACAACATTTCATTGAAGGATTTGCTCAACCATCACCTTATTGTTGGAGATTTAGATTGTTTCCAACCTAGTTATCTCTAGTAAATGTAGTACTGTGATCTACATTGTAGTAATAATGATCATGCATTTGTGAAGCACTGTGCCAAGCACTGTGTTAAACACTTCACACAAATTTTTTTATTTAGTCTCATAATAATCCTGTGAAGTAAGAACTGTTGTTCCTTGTTTATAGATAGTGTAACCAAGAAGTAGCAGTTAAAGAGCCCACAGCAAGGAAGAGGATTTAACTCCTAATCTAACATAAGCAAATATTCCAACTTGTTTTTTATGAATAAGTAAAGAGGACTGCTCAAAGATTCCAACTGCCTATTGAAATATGCAATTATTGGCTCCAAATTAAGAAATCTGTGGGATTTTTCTCCATTCCCTTCCTCCCTCTTTACATATTTTTTAAAGGAAGGAAGTGTCTAATGAATATTTAGTGGGCTTTTTTGTTTTTTCTTTTACTTTAGTAATTATTACTCTACTATGATAAAATGGTTATGTACCCTTATGGTCCTTATTGTTCCTTTTGTTTTTATTGAGATATAAGTGACATATAACATTATATTAGTTTCAGGTGTACAGTGAAATGATTCAGTATTTGCATATATTGTGAAATGACCAACACAATAAATCTCGTTAGCATCCATCACTACACATAGTCACAAATTTTTTTCCTTGTGATGAGAACTTCTATAGTTCTTATTTTGTAGTCTACACAAGATAGTAGCAACCCAGGCTCCAGAAAGGAGCCTCTCATTTTTATTGGAGGACAGAAAACCACTGTAATTAAGAGAAACAAGAAAAAAAAAGAGGTGGTATAATTTTGAATATTACCATATTTGGACATGTGCAATGTTCATACATTTTCAAGTACCTAAAGAAATGGAACTGAATTAAACTAGCTAGCTAGCTCGCTGAGAGGCGGGGCTCCACTCCTGCTGTTTTAATGACTAGATAAGAATGATTTGCAATCAGCTCATCATTTGATGCATATAAAATAAGGGCTTCTAAAGTGCTTAATGATGGTTGAAATTGTTTCATTTCTTAAGCAGTTTAAACTACCGCTGTGGCTTAATGCACCCTTTTGAAATAGCGCCAAACCGGGTCTGAACTTCCACAAAGTTTCAGTCGGAGAATGAGAATTAAATGAAACTTTAGAGCGCTCAATGATTCTAAAACTATACCAAATCTTGTCTAAGCCCGAGGATTAACTTTGGTTTGTGAACGTCCTGGAGCTTCAGATCTCCTGACTTGGGCACCCACCAAATCCTAAATGTTACAAATGAAGCACTGAAGGTCTGAGAAGTTAGGGAATAAAGGAAGGCGCCAAGGAGGGGCTTACCTCCTGCCTAACCAAACTGTCAGTGGAGAAACAACCTTGGCTTTTTCAGGCTAGAGGCCTCGGGATGCCCGGCATCCCGCACTGAGGGTGAGTCTCGCTCCATCAAGGGACGGAGTGGCGGCCGTCTGCAGTCTTAGCCCCTCCGCTCCCGGCCCCATCCGGAGTGTCAGGGGCCTTGGGCGGCCTCGCCTTCGGCTAGCAGGAGCAGCAGGAGCAGCAGGAGCAGGAGCAGCGGGAGCAGGAGCAGGAGCGGCTCCAGGGCGCGCCAGGGCGGGTGCCAGGCCCGGGGGGCGGTGGGGAGGGCGGCGGGGTGGGCGCTGGGTGGGATTAGCGGTCGAGGCTGGCCGCAGAGGCGGGCGTTGCCAAGGCGCGCGCGGTGCGCGTCGCTAGCAGCCGCCCGCCCACGTCAAGATGTGTTTAATAATCGCCAGGGTATTTCTGGCTGGGGCTCCCGGCGGCCGCGGGGGAGGCGGCTGAGGCGCGGCGGCTGTGGCCCAGGGCACCTCCCCCCGGCTTCCCGAACCCTGCCCCGTCTGACCCGAGGGGGAGGATGGAAGCGCCAGCCGCGCTCTGAGCCCCGCAGGAAAAGAACACCCTTCCCGCCACATCACCCCAGGGTCCTGCGGAGGCCACCGCCTCGTCCCCTCCACGTCTCCATCTCCCAGAGCGGGGCCGAGTGGAAAAGTGAGCGATGGCAGAAAACCTGAGGAAACTGGTCTCGAGCGAACCTTTACGACTGATGCACGACAAGCTAGAGTGCTGGCTGAGGGAGTACAACGTGAGTCCGGGGGGCTCGCCCTCGCTTTAGTTCCTGGCAGAGCCCTCTTAGGGCTGGCTCGGGGTGGTCGCTTATCAAAGCCCCGGCCGGCGTGATTCCTCACCGGGACCCAGGCTCCGACCCGATGGCGGGGGAGGGAGGAAGGGCACGGGTCGGCCGGTGCCCTTCCGCCCCCCACCCCCGGCGCCAGGGGGCGCTGGGGTGGCGCGGCCCGCGGGGCGCAGACTCGGAGTCCGAGCAGAGAGAGCGCCTTCTGTCCGGCGGTAACCAAGGACGCTGGAGGCCCTAGCAACGGGAAAGCCCAGAAGTCCGCCAGGGGTCCAGCCTGCTGCTTTCCCTTCCATCCCCTCGTTAGCAATCCACCTCCCTATCCCTAACTCGATTTTTTTTTTTTTTTTAAACTACACCCTTGGTCCTGCCTCTCATCACGTCTCAGGATACTCAGGGGTTGTATCACAATGAATTTTTATAAAAATACTTCCCAGGAGTTATTACCCAGATGTCAGTGAGATGGACACTTGTCAACGTTGCGGGTTTCACTTGTGTGCTGGTCAGCATGGCAAGTAAGGCACAATTTCACACCAAGGCAGACTTCAGGAGGCCTGTTACAAGGCATTTGTAGGAAGCCAATATTCTGTCATCAAACCCATAGAGCTCTTCAAGTCTCATTAATCCCCACCCCCACTCCGGCTCGCGTTAACCTCCCCCGCACATTAAGTACAACTCAGTGTTGCATTTGCTGGGTTTGATCTGTCCGTCTTAAATAGGAGGGTCCCACTCGTACAGTGGGACAGTGAGGCAGACAGAGCTGGGCATCTGTGGACCCGGAATGAGTCCCCCCTTCCCCCACACCAAGTCCTGGGTCTGGCTCTAGATAGTACTAGCTGAATTACCTGGGGCAATTTATTTCACCTCTCTGGGTCTCAGTACCTCATCTGTTAAATAGGACAGACTCACTCAACCAGATCTCAAACTTTTTTGAATTTAAATCAGCTCGTTTCTGAAATCCTACCAGGAAAATTGCAACTGGATGCTGTCTGAGTCTCTGGGCTTTCCAATTCACCCTTTGACCAGGGCTCCTGTGGTGGAGGGGAGCTCAAACTACACCTACAGCTTTCTCCTTGCCCCCTTTCTAGTGTTCAGTGTTTACCATCTTTGCCCACTTTTAAAGAATGAACACTGTGACTATTCCTTTCCCATTCGGATTGCAGGAAAATTAAAATTTACTTCTTTTTTTTTTAATTTTTATTTATTTATTTGACAGAGAGAGAGACAGCGAGAGCAGGAACACAAGCAGGGGGAGTGGGAGAGGGAGAAGCAGGCCTCCCGCTGAGCAGGGAGCCCTATGTGGGACTCGATCCCAGCACCCCGGGATCATGACCCAAGCCGAAGGCAGACGCCTAACGACTGAGCCACCCAGGCGCCCCAAAATTTACTTCTTACTACCTCTTATAGCATATTATTTCTTCCTTTTTCCCTTCCCCACTTCCTTCCTTCCTTCCTCCCCCCGCCCTTTCTTTCATTATTACCCCTTGGCCTGAATAAACTCTGAATGTTAAAAAGTATATTTAGTTTGGGGGTGCCTGGTTGGCTCAGTTAGTAGAGCGTGGGACTCTTCATCTCGGGGTTGTAAGTTTGAGCCCCACATTGGCTGTAGAGATTACTTAAAAAAATAAATGTTTTTTGTTTTTTTTTTACAGAAAGTATATTCAGTTTGCCACAAGACAATGTTTAACACAAATGACATTAGCATTTGACTGGATCAAATTTAATGATTGTTTTAGAAACTATTCATAAGTACTGAGAAATGCCAAAATTTATTACACTCTCCTTTCTCAGTAACAGTAGTTCCCCCCCCACACTCCTCTACTGTCACTGAAATCATTTCAATCTAGATTCTCTCCCCCATGCCAAGCTCCTCCCCCCACCTTCATAGAGACTGCACTCTTGGAGACCAATGCCCTTCCAAAAAATCTGTGGCCATTTCCCCATGCGATCATTTTCTTGGACTATCTAGTGTTTCTGTTACATTTGACTGTTGACACCTCCATTCTTCTAAGGCTCTAAAAATTGGTCTCCTTGCCTTACCCACTTCCTCCTATGGCAGTTCTTTAAGACTTTAGGAATCTTCTCTTGGGCCTCCATTCTTGCTTCTCTCTTACACATATGCCCATGAATCTCATATCCATATTCAGGGCCTCTTCTCATCTGAGCTCATTTCTCCAATTACCCATTAGACATTTTCAGTTGTGCTATTGTCATCTCAAAGTCAAATCAGTCTAAAACCTATCTTAGCTTCTCTGGTGCCACGAACACTGACCTCTTTCTTGACTTCACTGTCTTCATCATGACACACCCCACAACATTTTTGCCAGCTTAATCTGTTGACACCTACTTCGAAATTCACACAGAACCCTTTCACCACCTCTGCTGTAATCACCCTCGTCCACCTTCCATCATCGTTCATCTAGATTATTGTAAAAATATCTCAGAGTGATTCTTCTAAACGTCAAGTCAGATCAAGTTACTTCTCTGATAAAATCCTCAGACTTTCTGTCCCACTCAGAATAAAAGCCAAAGTTCCTGCAATGGCCATCAAAGTCCTACACAACTGTGCTCCTTTAAACTCTGACCTCATCTGTTACTCCCTTCTTCACTCTACTCCAGCAATACTGGTCTGGTTGTTCTTTCTAGAGCAAAGCTTTCCAATAGAACTTTCTATGATGGACATGTTCTATACAGGCACTGTCCAATATGGTGGCTATTTGGTACTTGAATTGTGGCAAGTACAAACTGAGGAACTGAATTTTAAATTTCATTTAAATTAAAAAAAATTAAATTTATTTAAAGTTTAATTAATTTAAATCCAAATTGTCACATATGGCTAGTGGCTACTCTATTGGGCAGAAGAGTCTAGAGCACACCAGCTGGTCTCCTGCTTCAGGGCATTTTGCACTCCCTATTCCTCTCTGCCTGGAAAACTTTTGCCTGTGGATATTTCAGTAAGATATCAACATCTTTGCTTTCTCTCCTCCTTCAAGTCTTTGCTTAAATTTCACCTTCCCAGGAGAGACCATTCTGTTTACAATTGCCATTTCCTATCCCTGCCCCTGGCACTCACTGTGTCTCTTCTCTGCTTTGTTTCTTCTGTAATAGCTACATCTTCTAATTTTTACTTATTCTTTCATTGTCAATCTTTCCTCCCTCCTTCCCACTAAAATGTAAGCTCCAGAGGGCAGAGATTTCTCCCTTTCTCTGCTCATCTCTGTATTCCCAGCACTTAGAATAATGCTTGCCTCCTAGTAGTTGCTCAATAAATACTGACTGATTGAATGCACCACCATTCTCCTAGACACCCGGGTTCTTGTACTCATTTGTCTTCTTAAAACCTCGTATCCAGTGTAGAATTAAAGATGATCCCCAAGTATCTTTAATTCAGCCTTTGTTAAAATTGAATAAAAAAACCAAGATTTCCAAGTAGGGGCACAATTGAGAGGATGCCAGTGTTTTTAATAGTTTTGTGTGTGTGTGTAGCTAAAGAGAGAGGATAAGAAAATATGTATATACCACCTACCAAAATTAAGGTTACCTCTAGACTTATTCAGTATCTTGTCACATAGAGTGTGGGTTTTGGTCAATGGCTAAGAGCTTCCCTGTAATACCGCAAGTTCGTTTTACTAGTTCCGAGGACTTTTTCCTTGAGGCCTTAAGATGAAGAATAGTCATTGTAGCAAACTACATTTATTAAAATGTTGGTTGTAGAGGTTTGTTCATTAAAAGCTTTAAATTATGTTTGCTATGGAAAGTTGATTTTGCTGACTGTGACCACATTGATTTAGTTCTAATTAACTCAAGCAAAATAAAAGGCCATAAATACCACTCTAGAATTAAGAATGGGATTAAAGTTCCCCTTGGGAAACAGTTATTTTCAGTGAAAAAGATCAATGACTTGAACAGATTAGTTCTAAAACACAATGCAAAAATTTCATTTTCCTTCAAACTAGCCATTATTGGGATGAACAGTTAGATCCTAGTTAATTTTTCTTCTTTCATATAATTTCCTTCATATGGATTCCCATTTCCTCTGCCTTAATCTGTCCATCACCACTCTTTTCATTGGGTCCTATGTATGTGGTCAGACACAGTACATTTTTTAAAAATGTAATTTTCTGCCCCAAAGCCTTTGGTTTTTATTTGTTGGCTCGCTTTTAATCTTACAACATCTAGCAATCTTATGGGCCCTATGCAAAACCACTACTTGCTTAATTTTTTAAAGATTTATTTATTTAAAACAATTCCAAGAAGGGATATTTTTCAAAACCCCACTAGAGAAACACAATAAAAACAACAGCAAACATTGCCAATTCACTTTCTTTTAGTTATTAAAGAGAAGCTGAATTATTGTATTACTTGGTCTTTAAAACTTGGATTCCATTGGCTGTTCAAGGACAGCTTGGTACAAACTTTTAACTTTTGGAATTGTTTTTCCTCCTCAGTGGTTACTGAGACTGTTGGTGAAAGAACGATAGGAAATCTCTCCTTGTTCAACCAAGAACTGAGCCAATTATTAAGAGCTTAATAATTCACTCAATAAATCGTTATTTAGCTTCTGCTATGTGTGAAGGTTTGGCCTAGACATTCTATATTTACACTTTGGGCAGTGTGCCTTTATTGATTAACTTACTCATTCAACAAAAGATTTTTTCAGAGTTTATGATATGACTGTGCTGGATGCTGGGAATAGAAATATCAGCTCCATCTTAATGATAAACTTCCAGTCAGAGATGCAGATGAAGGGTAGAGGAAAGAGCATGTGTAAAAAGTGGGGAGGCAGGAAGAAGCTGGCCTATTTGGGGGCCTATGAATGGTTCTAGGCAGGGAGAGGAAGTGAGATGGGGCTGAGGAGGTGGGGCGGTTGGGGCCAGAGGGTAGAAGCTTTGGGTGGTGTGTTAAGGAGTTTGGGTATTATCCCCAGGGGGCAATGGGGGGTGGGACTAAAA